TTTCCCCATCCTTATAGTGACAGAATTGTAGGAATCCTAAGAGAGATGAAGAAAATATGATGGACCTTGGGTAATACACGTGCCACATTTAATGATGAAAGTTTTTGCCTGGCTTTGACATTGGACTCTAAAGCTCATGCCTGCCTTGTTCATCCTGTTATCCTCAGCACTTAGCATAGTGCCAGACTTGATTTAATAATAACTGTTGACTTGCTGGAAACCAGGGAGATTCATAAGAGAATAAACATTCAAACTGACCTAGAGGAGAAGAAACTTATTGGCAGAAGAGGAAACCATATTAGATAGGGAAAATAGCATGAGAAAAGACTGCAGGTGAAACAGAATTCCTCTGGACTGAAGGGAAATAGTGGAAAATAGGACTTAAGCAGTGTCCACAATGTGGAAAGCCTTAAATGCCAAGTTAAACTGTATTTACATTGAAACAGTCTTTTACCGTCTCAGAGCCTTATCAGATTAAAATATGACTTGCCTAAGTTCCATGCCAGTGTGTCAGCTTTGACTCTTGGTGAACCTAAGAATGATGTCCACAGTGCCCTGTCCTCAACCACCCTGTTCAGCTTCTGTCGACTCCTGCCTATGGCTTCTTTTATGGAGTCTATCCATCTCGTATTTGGTCTTCCTCTTTTCATGCTGCCCTCTATTTATCCAAGCATTATTATCCTTTCCAAAGAACATTATTGTCCTACTTCTCAGGGTGTGCCCAAAGTAGGACAGCTTCAGTTTTGTCATTTGCCTCCAGTGATACTTCAGGCTTAATTTGCTCTAGGACCCACTTGTTCGTCTTTCTGGTCGTCCGGGGTATCCATAAAGCTCTCCTCCAACACCATATTTCAAATGAATCTCATTTTACCTATCAGTCTTCTTCACTGCCCTGCTTTCACATCCGTACATAGCAGTTTGGATACAGGGGTGTGGATTACCTTAGTCTTGATCTCTAATGACACATCTCTGCTCTTGACGATCTTTCCTTATTCTTCCATTGCCGCCCTTACAAGTCTCAGCCTTCTCTTGATTCCTTGGCTGTGGTCTTCACTTGAATTGACGACTAAACCAAAGTAAGCAAAATAACAATTTCGATGTCATTGTCTATTGTTTTGACTTTATCTTATCCAGCTAGTCTTTATATCGTCTACCTATGGCAAATTCATTTCTTTATGTTCATTTCCTGAATACTACATTTATTTCTGCCTTTCTGACTTTGCTCATATGTTTCCTTCTCCCCAAGGTAGTCTTACTAGTACTTTCCACCCTTCACATCATACCCATCCTGCAAGGCCAAACTAAAGCACCATTTACTTTACCAGTTATTCTTTATTATGTTTTTCTTCTTTATTCTCTGATCTGTTCCATGTACTTTTTAAAGAAACAAGTTTAATGCTCTCTACCTACTGTATTTTTATAGAATTTTTTTTTGTATTATAGCTCCATATTCATAGCAAGCTGATCAGCTCCCTAAGAACAGAAATAATATATTTTATCTTTTATATTGTCTTATTGAAGGTCTTAATAGCAAATAGTTACTGAGCCTAAAAAATGTTGAAGTTATATCTTAGGTTTTCCCCATAGAAGAGAAACTTTAAATTACTGGAAATTTTAGGTAAGTTATTACTTTATTAGTTTCTATTGCTGGAGTATAGGTTAATAATGAACATTTTAAAAAATATCATTTTGCTGATACTGAATTCAAGAGCACATGCAAACCTATAGGCTATAAGTCTACTTTAGCATTTGTAGATCTTCAGTCCCATTTGTCCAGGATTTTGAAAACGTCAGACTAATCTGGAAAACACAGTTTTCTAACAAATGTTCTTTGTTCTCAAAGAATGGAAGAGAAGGAAGAAAAAGTTGAACCATATGATATCACTGTTTCTATAGGTCAAAAACAGTCAAACGGAAATTTCAAATCATTCTATCTATATAATAAACTTAATTGAATTTCCTAAACTCAGTATTTATTATACTACCAAAGAAATAATAAATCTGTGTGTTGAACAGAATGATTCCATCAGAATCAATTAAGCTATCATACGTGAGAGATGTGTGTATTTGTTGAGCAACTACTATGTACTTGTCACAAAGCCAAAGTGCTTGATATATCATAAACAATAGACAGACATAGACCTTACCTTTAATGAGCTTATATTCTAGGGTATCTGTGTTTGGGGGTTGGGGGAAGAGTTTAAACATATAAATATATAATTTTAAATTGTAATGAATTTTAAAGAAAAGATGTGAAAGCGTTATTGAGAAATTCTACCTAATATTGGGAAGTCAGGAAAAGGTTTCTGGGGAAGTGACATATGATCTGATCTCTGAGGAATGAGTTGAGTAGGAGTGAGTTAGCTGGGTGAGAAAAAGGGAAAGGGCTGAGGAGACAAATTGGGTGAGCCTCGACATGTTTAGAAGCAGAAAGGTTATGCTGGCATAGCGAGTTGGTAGTGAGTGGATGGGTTAGGGACATGAGAGGAAGTTGGACAGTCAGGAACCACATAGAATAAAATCTTGTAGCCAGAGTTAGAGTTTGTTTTGTAACTTAAGTGCATTGAGAAGCCATTGAAAAGATTGACGTGAGTGGATTTATATTTAAAAAGACCATTCTGCTCTGAGTACAGGATGAGGGAGGTAAGGTGGCAGTAGAGCAGGACTGTATGTAAGCAAGGACTTTAGGGATCTGTTGCAGAGAAGATGTGATGACCAATTCAAGATACATTTCAAAAGCATAATCAGCTGGATTCCTGGCAAATAAGATGGGAAGTAAGGGAAGAGAACAAAAGGATAAGAGAAAGGTGCTGCTAAAAAGACCCCCACGCATCTCTGACTTGGAAGAATGAAATTCCCTGAAGGGAATAAAATTGGTGGGAAAATAAAGAACAAATATAATAGGGACAAATTAAGTTGTATTGAGACATCCAGGTACAGATGTCATATCATCAGTTCAATATTCGTCAGAAGCAAATTCTAACTAGGTGCATAAATCTGAGAATAACAAAGATATAGATGGTATTTAAAACCATTGGAATGGGTTTGGAGAGAGGAAAATAAGCTATATGACAGGAACCCTGATACTTGTGGAATCTGGTAGGTAGTACAATGAATAAAGACAGCCCACTGGGATATAATAAGTGCAACTGACAAGGTGTGTGAACCTGAGAAGAAGAATGAGAGAGCAGGGAGAGAGAAAATGAATGAATGTGAATGGATGTACATCATCTGATGAAGACTAATTATCAAGAAAATATGGGTGTTTCCAAATCTATTTAAAAAAGAAGAATTTGGATCGTTTAATAGTATGTGGAAAACATAGTTCATATTTAAAGTTCTATATGAGTCAGCATTGACTGAACCTACAGTTTAATTTTGCTAGGACAGGGTACAGAAGATTATTTGGCAGTCGGTTAGAGGATTAGTAGCCAGACAACTTAGAGGAGAAACCAGGAGAGTAGAGTGTCATAAAAGCCAAGAATAGAGAGAATTCTTCACAAAGGTTTGAATGGTTCAGTGTTTAATATGCTACTGAGAGCTTTGATAAGATGATGCCTGAAAAGTGTCTTTTGGATTTGCCAGCGTGAGTGGGTCATTGGTGACATTAGCAAGAGTAGTTCAAGTGAACTGATGACTTAAGTGAGATGCAGCCTGGCGCGTGTGGGCTCCCTGCCTTTAAAATGTGTGAGTACATTCAAATTCTCTGACCTCTGGTTTGATGAAAATAAGCACTAAACAAAAAAGAAAGTTTTTCCTCCCTAGAGTGATTCGAATGGTAAAGAAGTGAAGACTTTAAATGTGGATGCTTTTTTTGAAAAGCTTCTTTCTAAAGTGGAACAAATTATAATCATATCTGGAAGAAAATGGAAATCAACATATAGAACAGTGGTTTTTGTTTTGTTTTGTTTTGTTTTTCATGGAGTATATAAGAGGATTGTTTGATAAGAGAAATTAAACATACAAAATCAGTAATTTGGGAGTTAGGTTTTTTGTGTTTCTGTATACTAATCTAGTATTTACAGAATCTCACAAAACTACTCAACTAAGTGTCTGGACTGTATGCTGTATTTGTACTTATTTATGACTTAGTGGATCTTTGCAAAAGGCAAATTACAGTTTTCAACATAAAATTCTCTGTTCTCTCAATCTCTCATACATACAAATCCTCTGGGGATCTTGTTACAGTGCAGTTTCTGATGCAGGCTTGAAGATTCTGCAATTCCAACAAGCTCTTAGTTGATACCAGTACCATTTGTCAAGGAGTATCATGAAGGTCAATTGAAAATATTAACTAAAAATCACTAGCCAATCCAAAATTCTAACAGATTTTATTGTATTTTTTCAATTTTTTTTCTTATAGTATGTAGCATAAATTTTGAGGTAGGAAAGAAGAGGCAACTAGCAAGTTCTTCACTGATATTTTCAGTTCTTACAACAATACCGTGAGGTATTATTTTCCCCTTTTTGGAATCGAAGTAACTGAGAATCAGAACTGGTAAATAGTATCCTACAGATTAAAAAGTGAAGTTCGGCTAGCTCTCTGTCTCTTGTCTGTTTGCTTAACCACTACATTATCTTGGTTTTCCTTTTGTTTCCATAGATTTGAACAGATTAGTATTTTCCTCCATAATGAAAATAGTTCACTCTATTATTACTGTCTTTTATATTTCGTTTTAGAATTCCATTTAGCTTAGTTCTCCCTTGTGCATAAGGGTTGCAAATTTTGCTGGAAGGACACTCCATATTTCCATTGCAGACCTTTTCTGAAGTACAAAACTATAGGGGAGAACTAGGCATGAGTTTTAGACAGGTTTTCATGAAGTCTGTCGAGCCTTAGACAGTTGGTAGAATCCAGTGCTAGGATGGGGAAGGTGTCAGAGCTATACCATGAAAAAATGAGTTTAATCTCAGAAATATGATAGAGATTATCATAAATGTATATTTTTATTTGACTTTTTTACTACAGTCTAATAGTGATATAAAAATATTTCTTTTAGAATGTGAAACACAGAAAGTATGCAAGGTGGAAGGCTACATATATCCATAATTGTTTAAAGAATGGAGAGACTCCTCAAGCAGGGCCTGTGGGAATTGAAGAAGATAATGGTATGTTTTTATTTGTCTAAGTAAAATGATTTAGTAGAATCATAATTGTTCATTACATTATAATTCAGGGTTTTCAGAAGGAGCCATACAATTTTGTACCCTCCATAAGGTTCAAAATCTATGAAAATTTGGCCTAAAATCATAAATTTAGACAGTGCGAGATTAAGGCCAAACTGATCTGACTTCATCAACAGAATGGCTTGGCTATCTCCTACCTCTAATCAGATTTCATTCTTACTTGAAACAGGCAATCCAGTTATAATTTGTAAAATATTTCCAAACCACAAAGAACACTGTATTATTTTTTATGTATCTATTTGAGTTTTTCGAGGGGGGAGGGGTAAGTATACAGTCATATGGTTCAAAGTCTGTAATAGAATATATAAAAAATCTGGTGTATTTCTTATTTTTACCACATCTTTCATCTGCCCAGTTCCTGCCAAAACCCAAATAAGTAAATATTGTTTTTAGATTTTTGTGTATCTTTATAGTAGTTTTTTATGAATTTACACGCAAATAGGAATATATATCCCTTTTTTTCCACACAATTTTTAATACACTTTTGCACCTGAGTTTTGTTGTTATTGTTTTTACTTACTATATGCAGGAATATTTCACCATTATGCAAAATTAAATCATGAGAAAATAAGGGTCTTAATATTTCACTTGGCCTTTCAGTTAATGTGTAATAGAAAAGAAAACAAAAATGTTTTCACTTGTTTTTATTGATTAGACATGTAGGAAATAGGCTTGAGTGTTACAAGGATAACAACCACTGTTCTCTGAATTAGGAAATTCCAAATGACTCTTAAATTTTGTTATACAACTTTTAAGCATAGGCGAAGATGATCATCAAATGCATGGGTTGGTAAGCTTTTTCTTAAAGGATCAGATTGTAAATATTTTAGGCTTGTAGATGATGTGATGTGCTCTTTGTTGCAGTTGCCCAGCTTTGCTCTTGCAGTGCAAAGGTAGCCATAGACAATATGTAATCAAATGAACATGTCTGTGTTCTAATAAAACTTTATAAAAATAGCCAACCCACTGGCTATAGTTGGCCAACTCCAGTCTACTCTATCTCCTTAGATCTGTTGTTACAGTGAATTCTATTAAAAGATTGCCTAATATTGAACCAGCTTTACATTATGTTATAAATCCCACTTGGCCATGATTTTTTTTTATTATATCGATGGATTCAATTCACTACTACTATGTCATTTAGGATTTTTCTGTTGACACTCATGAGTAAAATTGGTCTACAGTTTTACTTTTTGGTATCAATATTATACTTGCTTTATAAATGTAATCTGAAAGTTTCAGGTGTTTTTCTATACTTCAGAATATACTTCCAATAGCCTTAGAATCTTTTCTTTAAATGCTTTCTAGAACTTTTTGTGAAACCAACTGGCCCTGGTACTGGGGATAGTTTATTGGCGCTATTCTGTGGAAGTAATCCTATTAGATTTTTAAAAATTTTTATTGAATCAGTGTCTAGTGAATGAATGTACACTAATGAAATGAATGATGTTTTAGTTCTTTTAGGCCATATTAATGTGCTGTCCATTTGGGTGCTGTCCTCACAATTTTTCAGATGATAATCGTGTTGCAGATCTGCATGGTGCTATGCCTATATGTACAGTGTTGTTGAAATAGCCACTGACAAAATATGACAGCAATGTTGAGTATTTCCATATATTATTTAAGAATGATTGTGTCACAAATAAGCAACATGAACAGTTGCTGATATCTTTAGTCATTTGGGAAAAACAAATTCAGATTACAGCAAGATATTCTACATACCTACTAGAATCTAGGGCTTCAATTTAATGAGCTGCTCGTACCAAGTGCTGACA